TCTACAACTACAACTACACTCACATCTACATCTACATCTACACCTACATCTACATCTACATATACATCTACATCTACATCTACATTTACATCTACATCTACACCTACATCCACATCTACACCTACACCTACATCTAAATCTACATCTACACTTTCGCATTGGTTTCGTTTTTGCTTTGCACTGCCTTTGCTATTGCTATTGCCTTTGCTTTTGCCTTTGCCTTTGCTTTTGCTTTTGCTGTTGCTGTTGCTTTTGCTTTGCTTTTGTGTTTGTTTGTGCTTGGTTTTGCTTTTGCTTTGGCTTCGAACACACACACACACAGACACACGCATGTTTCTCCATTCGCTCACCGGGTGTGCTTGAGAATGCTCGGGATCCGGCCTACACTGCACGACTTGGCATTGAGCAAGGTTGTGCAACACTTGCTACACCGAACGTTCCTACGAAACTGGACAGCAGCAGCAACTCCCAGATCGGTGCAACAAGCTGTTCAGCATTGTTTCGGTGGGCCTCATCGGCGCATGAGCAAGTAGAAGGGTCGTGGGAACTATGCTATGTTATGCTGCGCTATGCTATGCTATGCTATGCTGTGCTGTGCTGTGCTAAGCTAAGCTATGCTAAGCTGTGCTGTGCTATGCTATGCTATGAAATGCTGCGATACGCTATGCTATGCTATGCTATGCTATGCTATGCTATGCTGCGCTGTGCTATGCTGCGCTATGCTATGATATGATGTGCTATGATATGATATGCTATACTATGCTATGCCAATGCTGCGCTGCGCTAAGCTAAGCTAAGTTGAGCTAAGCTAAGCTTAGTTAGGCTAGGCTAAGCTAAGCTAGGCTAAGCTAAGCTAGGCTAGGCTAAGCTAAGCTAAGCTAAGTTAAGCTAGGCTAAGCTAAGATGAGATAAGCAAAACTAAGCTAAGGGGGCGCAACTGGGGGAACCGCGAGGCGGATACTGGGGGGACCGCCCGGGGCGAGGAACACCGCCCGGCCCCTTTAAGCCCAGCGAGTAAGAACCCTCTAGGCAGAGCCTAGGTAGAGAAAAACATTGAAACAGACCGAAGACCACTCGGGTACGCTTTGGAACCAAGTATGTTCGTACACCTCGATCCTGCTGTCACAGATTGGGGACCGAACAGAGCAGCGGCAACTCAGCACCCTGAAACATGATGGACCCCCGAACACAGAAAGTGTTATGAAAATGTGAGGCATGGCAACGTTTTCAAGACACCTGATTGGACGACGGGCAATTGCAATGCTGAATGTATCGATCTTGGCGTACTGTGCCAAGGGATGTGCTGTGCTGTGCCGTGCTGAACTGAGATGTGCTATGCCACGAGTGTGCTCTGTAGCGTTATGGATCGAGTCCTCCTTGGCATTCGAGTCCTGACCGAACTGATCTGGATCTTAAGCTCGAGCTGCCTGAGCACATAGTAGCTACCCCAGAGCTAATTGAAGTGGAAACGTGGAGGACGTTCAATCAACTCGACCTCAAAATCCGACTCAGCTCCGAAAAGGAACGGCACGAAACGGAGCATAGGCTCACGGATGCGCCACAGGATGTGCCAGGGGCGCAATAGGGGACGCGCCAGGGGACGTGCCAGGGGACGCATCAGGGGACGTGCCCTGGACGTGTCAGGGACCTGCCACGGGACGTGCCAAAACGCGTGCCATGGGGCGGCCAGTGGACGTCATGCCAAAGGAGGTTTGTAATGGGCCCGCCATGAAACGGGCAGGGGAAACGCCTGGGGACGAGCAAGGGCCACGCCGAGCGGCGTGCCAGGGGACGTGCCAGGGCACATGAAAACGAGCGGTTCGCTCGAGACCTTCTCAACACATCCTCATGCTAGAGATCCGCCTCGGCGACCTGGACACGCGAAAACAAGCGTCTCTCTCGAGACATCATCAACAAGTCCTCATGCTAGACATCTGCCTGGACGCGTGAACACAAGGGTCTTACTCGAGACATGTCCTAATGCTAGACATCTGCCTAGGCAACCTGGAGGCGTAAAACCAAGCGTCTCGCTCGAGACATCCTCAAAACCTAGTTAAGCACGTGAAAACAAGCATCTCACCTGAGACATCATTTGAATTCTGTGTCCCAGGAGAGGAACGATCTATAGCACAAAACAAACGTTTCGCTCGAGACATCCTCAACACATCACGCACAACAAGCGATTCGCTCGAGACATCCGCAACAAACGAAAATGCTTACTTCACCATGTGTCTTATCGATCGGCGGTCGATCGGATGTTTTATTAATTCAAACACGTTTCGCTCGGGATATCCTCAAAATTGAATCCGCCGGCCCTCTTCGACCTTCTTATTTGTCAAGGAAAGATCCGCCGGCCTTCTTCGAACTTGGCAATGGGGACATGTTTACCTACTGAAAAAGAACCCTGGGCTTCAGCCCTTTCTGGAACAAAAAAAGCAGTGGCATCAGAGCTTCCCAATGGGACAAACCATCCGGGCATAATCCAAACAATGCCGAGACACGTGCCCCCTAGACCCTCCAGGATCAGCTGCAGCAGACGCTCAGGAGTGGTATCACGTTTGCCGAGCGTGCTCCTGTAATTGCACTGATGTGTTAATTTCGCTCTAAGAAGCTGCTCCGCATATCTCAATGCAACGGCTGTCCGCTCCACCGCACAGTAAACCACCCAGGGATGTCCATACAGCTGCAGCTGCTTCGGGGGGCGCCCATGAATTACCCTGCGACGTACCCAACCCATCGGCACCAAGGCATGCAATATTGTCGGCACCTAAAATGTGCCGACAATAGTGCGACAGCAACACTGCAAGAGACGGTGTACGGCGGATATCTATGTCGCGCGAAGTGTGCGTGGCCGACTCGCAGAACAGGGGCACGAAAGGCCAGGAAGCATTGTACTGGGAAGAAGGAGCAAAAGGAAGACATCGGGGTGGAAGAACAATCACCTCGGCACAAACAACGAGATGATGGCGAGGTCTATTAGGGATCTGCGTGGGACACCACTGCTGGCTCCTCCCGCAGCCCTCGAAAGTGGGGACAGTTTCACACTTCGCAGCCCTCCCCCCAGAAATGGCGAGGTCCCCGTTGGGGCCCGTTGGATCTGCGTGGGGCCCACTGTGCTGGCTCCCCCAGCAGCCCTCGAAAATGGCGACAGCTTCACACTTCGCAGCCCACCTAGGATTGCGAGATCCCGTTTGGGTCTGCGTGGGTCCCCACACTGCTGGCTCCCCCAGCAGCCCTCGAAAGCGGCGACAGTTTCACACTTCGCAACCCCCCAGGGATAGCGAGGTCCCGTTTGGGTCTGCGTGGGGCCCCACTGTGCTGGCCCCCCCCCACCGCAGCCCTCGAAAGTGGCGACAGTAGCTTCACACTTCGCAGCCCCCCAGGGATGGCGAGGTCCCGTTTCGGCTTGTGTAGGACACAACTATGCTGGCCCCCCGAGCAGCCCTCGAAAGTGGCGACAGCTTCACGCTTCGCAGCCCCCCAGGGATTGCGAGATCCCGTTTGGGTCTGCGTGGACCCCGCTGTGCTGGCGTCCCGAGGAGCCCTCGAAAGTGGCCAAAGTTAGTTTCACACTTTGCACACCCCCAGGCAGGACAGCGAGGCAGGAGGCATGCAAGCTGGCAGATGCAGGCAGGCAAGAGAGGGGCAGCGGGGGGAAGGAGGAGAACGGAGGACTGGAGACCCCACTGCTCGATTCGAAACGAGAACCCAGCCAAAGGAGGGCTGGGAAGCGGGCACAGGCTTAGCTTAGCTGACCTCGCCCACTAGGAATCATGCGCATCATGCGCAACTACAAATTCAGCAGAAGCCCTTACCAAACGGTCAATTCACGAAGAGCACCTGCACATCCCGCACGACCTGTGCACATAAAGTGCACGCCCCTGGCCGGGACAGCACTATCCTATCCTTTTGGGTCAGAGGAATTCGCCCTGGATGTATTCTGCACGCCGCTAAAACGCCGCCGCCCGCGCCGAATTTGTCAAAAACTTCCAAGCGTTTTTTCCTACGTGCTGTCGAAAGCACCGCCGCCGCCAAGTGATCAAAGATCCCTTCGGTTCCCGAATCACCTCCGAAGCCCCCGGAGCCTCCCTCGAGAGCCTCGCGCAAGAGCAGGCCGCCGATGCCGCCAGCGACGGCCCCGCCAACGACCGCAAGTCCGAGACTGATCCCCAGCTGCTGGGATCTGGGCGGACTGTACCAGAGATAGGCGCAGTCCGGCTGCCAATAGCGTGGCAGCGCGAATCCTGGCTGGCCGTCCGATTGCTGCATGTAGCCTGGCTGCGCGAGACCTGGTTGCGCGAATCCTGGCTCACCGTACCCTGGCTTCTCGCAGCCTGGCTGACCAAAGCTTGGCGGCGGGTACCCTGGCTGACCGCAGCCCTGCTGCAGAAACCCTGGCTGCGAAGAGCCCAGCTGCGCGTAGCCCGGCGGAGCGTAAGTCCCCAGTGGCGCGAATCCTGGCCGCCTGGCCGCTAATAGCCCTGCTGCTTATACTCGGGCGGCGCCGGGCCTGGCTGGGCATACGGGGCCTGATCTAGCCGCAGTCCGTTGGGCGACGGTCTATAGGGCGGCTTGAAAACGAGGCATCCCATGAAGTACTCCATCGCTTCGGCGGAGGCTCAGTGTGATCGGATAGCAGGTGGGGAGACTGGCAGTCGTCGGCTGGGAACTCTCGAGCAAAAGCTTCCTCTGGACATGGCAAAAGAAAACGGGAACGCACAGCGACATTCATGGTGGACATTGCGCCCAGAAAGCGAAGCGATTTCGCAGCTGCTCCTAAATGCATCGAATCCGCCATTCCTACAGCGTAGTCCCCAATACAGAACCAATGTGTTTGGCAGTCGATATTCAAGGATGTCACATTACTGATGTGGCGACTGGATGGTATGGGAACTTCTTGCGGACCTTGGTTGGGCATTTCGCACATGACGATGGCTATGATGACCAGGGCGGCAAGGATGGGAGAGAGAGCATAAAAAAGAAAACTTCCAGGACGCGTCCTACGGGGTCGGGGTCCGCTATCTTCTCGAAGAAGCTGCACATGGCAGCCGCACAATACTGGGTCAGCTTGTACCGCTCCCCCAGCTGCCCTCGGCACGAAGGGGTGAGACGAGAAGCAGGAGCTGCATGAGTGCCACACCCTCCCCCTGAGAAGTCCACCCTCGCTGGCGGTCGAGCCTCGGCGATGCTTGGACATGCAGCGAGGCACGCCCCTGCCTTTTCAACCTGTGTGTGAGCCCGGACGTGAAAACCAGCACAAGCAAGTAGTACGAATTGCTGGTTTGCCGGTTCTCCACTGCACGGCGCACCTCGCTCTGAAGGGCTTGTCGGGTCTACTCGGATGTGCCTGTTGTGCTGGCGTGCTCAACATCCTGGCCGGCCTCAGTAAGCTATCCAGCTCACTGAACATGTGCTGATGCATTATTTACTTGCTAAGCCTACGTAATGACCTTAGCCTGATATCCCTGGACGTTCGGATCAAAGCTGTGGCTGTGCACATAACAATGACGTCGAGAAGGCAAACTCCTCAGCACCGAACAAGCACAGTGCCAGTGCACCGAAGCCAGAGTTGCGAAGGGCACAAGTCGCAGCAGCAATTGAATGACAAGATATCAGACAATGTGGGAGGTCTGCACGGATTTCTTGGATCTGCGCGGGGTCCCCCCTGCCTGGGGCGTGGAGCGCGCCAGGGGCAGCGGTGGAGGCGCCGCCAGGGGGCCCAGCGCCAGTCCAAGAAGTCCGCGCAGACCTCGGACAGGTTGTCTATGCAGTCTGTGATTCGAAAACTGTCTGGCTTCATAGCGGGACCCAAGCTTGCGACAAGGCGCCGACTGGTCGCGAAAACGCGCTGGACGGTGGTGAGGACAAGGACGAGGCAAAAGACTGGGAGGAAATTGCTCTCTAGGTGCTCGGCCACGGCCCCGGACGCTGGCGCACCCGAGAAAACTGCAGCGCTCTGGTCGAAGCACTCTCCGTTACAATACAAAAAATGTACGTTATTAATTTGCTGAACAATGAATGTTGTTGCTTTACTGTAGGTTCTACTGTCACTGACTATTATCAGCGAGCTGCTGTAGATGCGACGTGGCTGATGCGCTGCGGTCCGAGCGGACTCTGAATGTTAGAGGGGCTAGAGGAGTGTTAAACGAAAATCGGATAACAGGTTGGAGAAGTAGAGAGGGTTCCATGTCAGAGATGAAGTTAAATATAATGTGAAGAATTACAAAGGATTCCGAGTTAGCGAGGAATGTTTAATGAGTTTAAGGAGTTAGCGCTGATCCCAAGTTACAAAGGATTTCCAAACATAATTCGGATACCTAAGCAAAAAATCCGAACTAGAGAGGCTTCGTCTTAAATTGGATAGTTAGAAAAGAATTCCGGCTTAGAGAGGCATGTTCAACAACAAGTTGGCGAGTTAGAGAATATTCCGAGTTAGAGAGGTTCAAGGGTCGAATCGCCCCCTGCGTTTTACATAATTCTGTTTTGTGGGAGGCGGAGCGCATCGTTTGTTTGCTGCTGGCATCGGCGTGGTATACCCGCTCTGCGTTTCTTCGGCGTTGCCTCCCACCTCTCTCTTTCTCTCTCTCTCTCTCTCTTTTTCTCTTTCTCTCTCACTTTCCGCCGCAGCCCGCCTAAACGTCAGCATAAGCAGAGCCGAAGCCTCAGCCTAGCCAAGCCTAAGTTCCAGCCGAAGTCTAGCCGAAGTCTAGCCTAAGCCTCATATTCAGCCTCTGTCTAGAACAGGCTCTGCTTCTTCAGCCTGTCCTAAGGCTGGCCTGAGCCTAACCTTCAGCCTCGGCCTAGCCTAAGGTTTAGCCTAAGCGTTGCCTAAGCCTGGCCCAAGTCGAAGCCCAAGCCTAAACTCCAGCCCACGCCTGGCCTAAGCCTCAGCCTAAGCCAGGCAAGCCTTAGCGTCAGTCTAACCTCATCATAACCTAAGCCTGGCCCAAACCCAAGCCTAAACCTGAGCCTCAGCCTAGCATACACCTCAGCCGAAGCCTGGCCTGAGCCCCGTCCAAACCTCAGCCTGGGCTTCCGCGGAAGCCTCAGCCTAATCCATCAGCTTAAGCCTAAGCCTCAGCCTAGCCTACACCTCAGCCTAAGCCGAGCCTGAGCCTCGTCCAAACCTCAGCCTGAGTTTCGGCGGAAGCCTCAGCCCAAGCCAACCCCAAGCCTGGCCTAAGCCTCAGCCTAGCGTCAGCCTAAGCCTCAGCCTCAGCCTAAGACAAGCCCCAACCTCAGCCTGAGCCTCGGCCTGAGCCTAACCTCAGCAAGAGCCTAGCCTGAGCCTCATACCTTCACTTGCTAGTACAATACTAGGGTCGTACTACTACCTCATTGCTACAACAGTTCTACTATCACAGTATTAGGGTACGACTACCCCTACAACGCAATTGCTGGTACAACGGCTCGACCATATCAGAGTGATGCTACACGACTAAAGTGTTACAATGCCGTGTTGTTCCCACAGCCACCACTACGCTGATACCATTCCTACTACACCAGAGCACTACTACGACGTCAACAGAATGCTGCTAATACAGTGCTACAACGGCACTACGCTGCTAGGGCACGGCGGTCGCGCTGGAG